ACACCTCATGCTTCTTGTTGAATTGGAAGGCTTAGGTACTAATACATGCTAATTCGCCAGTGACCTAAGCATCCATCCTGCAAATATTGAAATACTAAAAATCATATGTACAAAACTATAGAAATAAAAAAACCTTCTATATTATGGAAATGGACCACACATCCCTTGGGCATTTGTATGACCCTCTTCCATGGTTGAGGTTGGCACGGCAGCAGGAGAATCATCACCAGAGTCTGAGGCGCTACAACACCTGATGTTGTCATCAGTAAAGTGCACTTCTCCATCCATATAAAAGCTCGAAGCACTATCTGTAGCTATCGGTCTGCCATCTCTATCGAGCTCCATTTCTCGGTTTCTACTCTCTCTTCTCTGAAACACATGCCACAAGAGTTCTTTCTCATCGAAGCGCCAAGCCATGGCCTTGATTCTCTGCCATTTGCTCTGATTAGCCATTGTAGTTTCACCTGTTGCTCTTTTATGACAAAAGGAAATGGAAAAGATCATTAGGGCTCCAATGGAAGTGGTCCAAACTATGACAAAAAGGCCCCAAAAGCAATCAAGACTGAGAGCAGTTGAGGTATTGTTATGCAATACGCTTCTTTTCCTAAACGATGCCCGCTCTATGGAGTCAATCTTGCCTCCCTCTGATATGTTTAGGACCGCGTTGGAAATGTCTGAAAGTAATAGGGAGTTTTTCGGAAACACCTGTGTTGTGACAGGAAGATACGTTAAAAAGGTAGATATCAAGAGGATCGTTTAACCTAGCAAGAGCACGAAAAAATCCGCGATAAAGCTTGAAATACTCGTATTTATTGTATGAGTTCAAATGTAAACATTCAGAGAAATGATCGATTTGCTAGGGCTTTTCAGCATTAACTTGATGGGTTCGAACAATTGACCTACCTCACCCAAACCGACATGTCTGCTTATAAGCCAAATATTAGCAGGAGTCTGAGTGACTTCAGAGAAAGTGTTAACAAATATCCTACATTTTAATGTGTTCAATCTTACAACTTTTTCCAAAGTGAAAAATGAAGCATTTATGATTCATATCCAACTTGGGCTATATGGCCAATCCACTAGCGTAAAATTTCCATAATACTGATATTTAAAAGGAAACACTTGCATTAAAAAACTCACTAATCATGTGTAGTCAAACAAGAATGCTTAAGAACCATTTCTTGCTTTAAAAACTCATAGGTTTCAAGGAAAAGAACATAAAAAGCTCAATTTAGAAGCATTGTTCGCAAAATCCCCCGATCTAATCGCTGATCGCCCTGTTAGATCGAAACCGGCCACTGACTGGTTCCAGTTTTGGGCGGTTAGGGCGATCAATTGGTATTTTTTAAAAAAAAATTGAAAAAAATGTATATAAATTCTCAAAAATAAATAATTTAATTTATAATACATTTTTTAAATATTCTTTGCATTATGGTAAGGATTAAAAATTGTTTTGGTCGTTGATACTAACTTTTATATTTTTCCATCTTTTTTTGAAAATTTTAGAAAAATAGCCTTTGGAAAATATAAAATCCATTAATTTTCAATTGTCCGATTAGAGCGGTTGAATCGGCCGGTTTACTGGTTAGGCCGATTAAATAGCTTCTAGGCACATGTCATGTTAACCATTCCGGTTCGATTTTGCGAACTCTGTATAGATGATCATGGGAACTATATGAAGGATTTAAAATCATCTAAGGCTCACCCTGTGAGAAATTTTAAATGAATAAAAAATATTTTGGACTCTTAAAACAACTGATATGATTATTTTTCGAATGGATTCAAAATCATCGTTGTACAAGAAAGTGATTTGAAGTATTTTCTTGAACTCCAAAATCACTTCCTTTTCGAATTGATCTTAGAGAAGAGGCAAGCTATATTACTTGATATTTTTAGCTGGAAAACAACGTAGTTTCATGGTCCCATGGGACCACCAAATCCTGTGCGTGAATAAAGGTACTCAATGGGGATTATTGACTTTTTGTACAAAAAGATGAAAGGTATTCCTAGCCATAAAATGTGGGGAGTCTATTATTGCAATGGAGTCACGCATATACACACATATAGAGATATCAAGAAAAAGATTTGATCGAAAGAAAGAAGCGAGAGATAAAAGAGAACTTACGAAACCGAAGCCCCCAGTTCTAAAAATTGGTCGCACCATGGTATACTCAAGAGAATGAGAAGAGACAAATAGTTGTATGTAGGGATCCTCATCAAAGATTGCAGCAACCCCTCCATTGCTGCTACCCCTTGACAAGGCTTCAGCATATTCATCGGGAGTGTCATAAGGCATGAGTTTTCAACTTCGAGAAGCCCGACCTTACCAGAAGGCCTTCGACATAAGAGTTATTTTGATATCCAATGTAGTCACCATTTTTTATCAGAGTTTCAATATCTACAACAGTAGGTTGCAGCTGCCCTACTGTGAGAATGGAGGCCAAGTTTGCAGTGTAACTGCTTGTTAATATAAGTACCGCAAACAACCATAAGACGAGCACAAAGCGCGTCATATTTCCATTTATTCTGTCACCTAAAAGATATGCAACTCAAGTTAGAGAAATGAGTATAGCATTTGTTGGAAGGGGAAACTTCAAAAATTTACAATAAATAAAAAATAAAGAAAAAAATGCAGTGTGTTCTAGAAGGATTTTTTCGGGGGAAAAAGTTTATATAAGGTTGCAACCTTATAATGTAGAGCTACAGATGCACCTAAAATATCCATCGGAAAAGGTAGTTTTAATGTTGAAAAACCCTTTGATTGATCATCTCGATATCGAGATGTATGAACATGAAAAATAAAAATATTTTAAGTATCAGAAAATAGTGCATTTTACAACATATTATCTATATCATCCATTTTCAATATTTTCATATGTTTATAGATCTACTTCATTTAAACCAATTTTGAAATTTAAAATTTTATAATTAGATATAAAAATAGATTTTGAGATAATCCTAAAAACATTTCACATCAAAATTATATACCATGATTAAATTTGAAGGCACACCTTATCTCTACAGCTACGGATGCATCCGTACACCAACTGCACCCTTTTTTGGGACATATAAATTACTCTAGAGAAGTCTACATAGGTTGTTTTGAGACCTATAAATAGTACATCATGTAATTTTGCACCGTTCATTTTTAAGATTTTTCAAGTGTTTATAATGTGTGGGATCTTGTCCTACATGAATCATAACAGTTGTCGAGATATTCACTGTCAAATCTTTGGTACAATACATGGCTTGAAGTAAACTTGCTGACTTGATACGTATCTATGGACCAGTTCTACTATATATGATACAAATGGAGAGTTGGGGAATGGAATCCTAGTAGATAATCGGCCTGTGATTGAGTATAAGATTTCTAGGCATTTGAGATAAACTTTCACAAGTTTCAAAATAAATATAGGACATTAAAACATGAAGAGATTTACGGAACAGTCCACTTTAATTTTATGATGGCTCATACTGTAATGGGAAGAAAATAAATCAGAGTGTCAATTACAAAGTATTTGAATTTTCCAAAAAGAAATAATATTGAAAAGGCGTTCTTACGCTGTGCAAAGACTAGAGTTGAGAAGGAGAAATAAAGAGCAGTTCCCAGTTGCTCGATCGGTGGCCCTTGAAAATTCTCATTAATCCGATGCTCCAAAACCCAAAACACAAATGCCATGAAGAAGAAGAGACATGTAGTGATCACCCAGAGCTCCCATGTTAATGGCTTCAAGAAAGTCCAAGCTTTGGTTCTCTTCTCCTTCTGCAGAGGTACTATCATCGATACCCCTGCACTGGAGTATGGCGGCGTAAAGTCGACTTGATTCGAACGGCTCACTAAAATAGTGACATCACCAACTACTGCATCATAGTTCTATTGCCAATCCACAATGCACATACATGTACAAGAAACAAATTATGTCAAGAGAACTAATAGAAGGGAGCCACTTGAAAATCAGATCTTATGTGAAATATGGACTTACCCCTTGAACAACCTGGTTAATCATGTCATTGTAGCTCCCTGCGCTATTTCCTTCACTATCTGCAAATGGAAGAAACTCGTATGGCAAAGAGTAGGGCAAAACCTCCATGACTGCAGCAAAAACATCGATGGAGAAACCGGTCACTTGCAGTCGACCTGTAGCTGGGTCTCTTTCTACCTTCACGAATTCCTGATACCTTCTCTTAATGGGAACCCCAATCCTTAACTTTTTACTGTTTGTGGGGATCACCCAACCCTTAGGGACCACTGCTGTTTCCCCAGGCCACGTTACTGGCCTGAGATCGGCCATGTTAGCTGTGTAGCCCTTCTTCTTATTCTCTTGTGTTCGTTCAGCGACCGGAGATAGGCCAGATACAGGTGACCAGAAGCCGATCACTCTTATACCTTCTTTAACTATGTTAATTACTTGAAATGTGGAAGCTTTGAGCTCTCCATTAATGAAACGGATATCCCCGGTTAAGCCCTTGAATGTGGTGCCTAAGATGGCTCTGAGGATACTTGGACCTGAAGGTGAAATTCCTAAATTTGAGAGATCTGTAAAATTCCCAATCTCTTCTTCTGTGCTTTGTTGCTGAAAAGGGAGGGCTGTGGTACCAGATTTCTGCACCGCAAGCGCGAGAACCCAGGTCATGTCATAAGCTCTTAGTCCGAAAACATTTAAATCTGGAACCTTGAACTTTGTAGTATTTTCTGCACTGTAAAAATGCTTCCACCTAGTTATGAAATTGGCCAAACGTTGGGACTTCGGAATGTATGTCTTCACTGCCAAGACCCCTTGCATTGAGGCTATGGCTGAAGGATCCATGGAGCTTAATGAACCCGCGAGCTCATCAGAAATGATCCAGGCATTGTCCTTACTCATCATCCCGATTTCTTGAGCCTTTTGGAATAATCGAGAGGCAAGCGGAGATGACATGTGAACGATGAAAACCCTGGTTTGCATTGTCATAAGCTTGTACAGTTCTTGACCGATCAATTCCTCTGATGCGAAGGTGGGAAGGATGGATTTGTACTGGAGGCGAGACCCGATTTCTTCGAGGGCGTCTCTTAAATATAGAAACAAATCTGATTTGAATTTAGAGTCCTCGCAGATGGCCACAGCTTGCCTCCATCCGTAGGCTTTGAGAAGAGCAGCAATGGGTTTGGCTTGAGCCGCGTCATTGACAGCGCCACGAACAAAGTACGGGGTATAGGATGAGGAGAGAGAAGGAGAAGTTGCAGAGAAGGAGAGCACAGGGACTTGAGATTTGTCTCCAAGGTTGGCCAGGAATTCAGCTTCACCTGATGTTTGAGGACCTATGATGGCCTGCACCTTCTCATGTTTCATGAGATCTACGCCTGTGGGACGACAAAAATTTAAAAATTAAAGTAAAACTAAGTTAAAATTTTAAGGGTTTGTTTGGATAGACCGTTTATTAAAGAATGATACATTTCCTCATACTTATTTGTATTGGGAAAATTGCATAAAACCCTCAAAAATCACTTTATAAGTAATTTACCTCCAACCTAATTTTTTCTAGTGACTTTTTCTCCAAAACCATGTTTCTTAACAAATACCCCAAATCAAAAAAAAAAAACAAGACTAAAATACGGTTTGGCACTTCAACATAGCGGTCCGGCACTTCACCATGACAGTCCCGAGTTTGGAAGAGGTGGTCTGGCATTTGGAAGAGATCGTTCCGGCGTTTTACAATTGTGGTCCGGCATTTGTTTGTGTCTGGAATAAGCGGACCGACAACGTACAATTTCGGTCCGACAGAATGGATGGGTCCGACAATATACAACCACGATCGAACATTTCCTTTTATTTGGATTTAAAAATGATTTTTTATGTATGGGAATGGCATTTTCATTAAAAAATAAAATTTTTATATTTGGGGGATATTTGCTATAAAACTTGATTTTTGAGAAAAATATGCTAAGAAAAATTAGGGTGGTAAAGTGCCTAGAAAGTCTCTTTTTAAGGGTTTAATGCAAATTTCCCATTTTTCTTGATATTTAAAAGGTACATCCTACTGAGAAGTGTTCTCACCCCAAATTTCACACCATAAAATGATTTAAAAAATAAAAAATAAAATAAAATAGTTTGAGCTATTAAACGCTCAGAAATTAACTTGTAATGTTATTTCTGAAGTCATCCCAACCATCCATTCAACTTTAGAATCTGAGTCATGTATATTTTATACGTAGGTGACTTCACCATTTGTTTTCTAACTGGTCCGGAGCCATGAGTATGATTGAGAGGACCCGATGGGGCATTCCAATTTTTTTTAAGAAGCAGCAAAATGCACTTGCCTTTTTCAATATTTCATTCTTCCTCATGTACTTGCATAGCTGCGTTTAGGCATCACGTGCTAAACTTGTCACGTACATGAAAAATGTTAAGTAGAACAAAAAAATGGAAATATATTCATTTTTTCTTTTTGTATGGAAAATTCACAGCCCCCGAGCCATTAGATGTCATCTTAGACGGCTTAAGGACGTCTTTTCCCCTCTCAAAGTACCCAGTATTTTCTCTCACATATTAAAATATATCACAGCTTTTGAGAAAATTTGTTTTTAATTTTATACTCAATTAGTGACATATCATCACCCATCAGATTTTACATTCAATTCAATGGTTGATAATAATCATGACTTTCTTGTATAAAAAATAAATAATTTAAATATATATATATATAGGGGATAGAGGGAGAGAAAGAGATTACCAGCTGAAACAGCCTTGATAACATCTTCACCTGAATCCCTCCAAGAAATAGTGAGTCTAGTGTCGAAGTTGGGGTGCTCATTGTAAAAATCTTCAATGGCCAAGGCTATGCAACTATTACTCACTCTTCCAACCAATGAATCCATAGCCAAAACCACCCCGACCCTAACATCTATTGCCCCTTTTGTTTCATTAAACCCATCTTCATTCAATCCAAAAGAGGAATGGAAAAGGCTTAGAAGTAAAGAACTCAAAAGAAAACCAGCCCTCATCTCTTTCAAAACACTTAGGACAAAACCGGCTTTCATGTCTTTGAAGACTGGGAAAATGGTTTATCAATGAACCTTGGGTGACCTTTTAAAGCGTAGTTTTGAAGCAGAGCATCAAATGGTATGAAATTACATATTGATTCATGGAATTAGAGGAGACATTATCTTCTTTTTTAAGTGCACCTTCCCTTTTGTCGCATCTAGTTTGTCTCAATTGGAATTCTCAGTCTCGGTTCTTTCTTGAAAGTGCAACGAATTTTCCTCTTGGTTAAATTCTCCGGTCTACATTATGTAGATGCGTGGAAGGTGCACAAGGTGCACAATGGTTGAGATTTCACAACGCCAAATCCAACGGCTAATAATTAGTCTTGTAACTTTCTCTTTTTATTTAAATGAGTTATTTATCTGAATTTTAAGGCGTAGGTGTATTTTTATAAATGAACTAAATAAGAATAATTAAATAATATTTAAATAAAAATAATTAAAATACCCTTAAATTTATTTTGATAGTTAACTAGTTTCTTAGCATTTTTATTCAATTCTAATTTTAGAAATAAAGCTATAGGTGAAAATAAACAGTGATTTCGCCTACCCTCATCACCGTCCAAAGTTCATCGCACGATCACGATTGTCCGGTAGTGTTTTATTTTTCATTTTTTTTATTAATCGGAATGACTTGAAATTTGGAGCATGTGTTCATAAAAAACAGATGAACCTAAGAACATATCAAAAGATAAATATTTTACATGAAAAAAGTAACCAAAATACCCCCAAAACTTTTTGGGGGATTTTGGTTATTTTATTCACGAATTGTTATTTTTATATTTTTATTAGGTGTGCCTCACTAACATGTACACACCATCCAAATTTCAGATCACTTCGATTTGTAAAAAAAAAAAATGAAACATTACATCGTGACTGTGCGATGAACTTTGTACAGTGATGAGGGTAGACGAAATCACTGTTTATTTCGCCTATGGGCGTTGGGAAGACTTTTCGTGTGTGTGTGTGTGTGTATATATATATGTATATATATATATATATAGTAGGTGTAGTTGGCATACAGATGCATCCGTAGCTGTAGAGGTACGGTGCACCTTCAAATTCTATCATGTAATATAATTTTGATGTAAAATGTTCTCAGGATTGTCTCAAAATCTATTTGAATATCTAATTATAAAATTTTAAATTTCAAAAATGGTTAAATTCAAGTAGATCTATAAACATATGAAATCTTGAAAATGGACGGTGTAGAAAATATGTTGTAAAATGCACTAATTCTGAGACTTAAAATCTTTTTATTTTTCATGGTCATACATCTCGATGTCGAGATGCTCAATCAAAGGGTTTTTCAACATTAAAACTACATTTTTTGATGTTTTTTTGAGGTGCATCCATACTCCCAATTGGCTAATTTTACATTCGTACTCCCAATTGGCTAATTTTTTTTTTTTATTATATATATATATATATATAACGAGGATGTCACAATCAACTTCATCCAATGGATGTAAAATTAGCCAATTGGGAGTATTTAATCAACTGGGCTAAATATTTAAAGGAAAATGCCTCAAGTTTTTCATATCATTAAGTTGAAAAGCACATGATACTCGTTATATGCATTAACGATACTTTGTCAGTTACTTTTCATGAAATGCATGTCATACTAGCACTTCTGAAAATTTATAATGTGATTAAACATGGTATAATTTCCAATTTTGCGCATGAATTCATTAATTTACTGAAGAATGATCCATTACATAGATTCAAGATTCATAAAAAATTGCAGTAAAGTTTTACACTAGCAGATCACCTAACACAACTCTCCTTCTTTTCCCAAGTTTTGACAGGCATTGACCAGCAGGCTGCTGTAGCGCACTCCCAATATCCATGATAAATTTTTTTTCCACCTTCCTCAAAATTGACCAATATGGCTGATCAAACAACGAAATAGTTGCCATTATAACGTGCTATTTTTTCATTTAGTTTGAATTTTGGTCTTAGAACGTGTTTGATTTCTCTTTTTTCTTTAGAATTTTAAATTGTAGAGTGATATACAACAAACTTCTACTACTGAAGAAAGCCTATGTCAATCCCTAAATAAATTTTAAAAACTTATATTCCCCGAAAGCACGCTTCCCACCCCACAAGCTCTAATTTACTTCTGATTTCATTACCCAATTGAGTAAATTATTAATATTTTAATATAGTTTGGTGTCAACTGATTTTATGCTCCCGCCAGCCAAATGTCCTCTACCCTCCCCTCGTGTAAACAACCTATATAGGAGTACTGAGGACCCCAATTTTTGAGTGGTGGATCTCGTGAACCTGGCTGTCAAATTAAAAACAAAAATTAAAGTACAAAAAAGAAAAATAAAATATTTTTTCTATGTGTACAAAAAATTAATATCCCAAAAATTGAATAAACATGCTCTAATTTTTAGATGATCAATCTGAGTGTTTAAAAACTCAAAATTCAAACTTTTATCTGAAAGCACACATCTGATAATTATAATTTTAAAATAGAACCCTATATGAGATTTGGGATCGAAAAAGAAAATCCTCTTGAAGATAGTTTGTTTGACCGAGGGAGCAAGCATACAATTTGCTCTCACCATAGCACGCTATGCAAGATTTACTCGTCTAGTGGAGCTGAGTAACCCATTAGGATACTCTTTTCCATTGCAAAGGAAAAAGTTTATATAAGATTGAAGCCTTAAATTATCAAATTAGGGCACACCTATAAACTTCACTAGACGAGATTGTTTTTATGTCAAAGATTCCTTAAATCAATATCTCCACTTAGAGATGTACAAAACATGAAAAAAAATGGATTTTAAGTATGGGAAATAGTGCATTTTGTAATACATTATCTGGGCATCAATTTTCAATATTTTCAAGCATTTATAGATCTGTTTGATCTAGACTATTTTTTAAAACTTTAAATTTTATAGTTTATAAAAATAAATTTTTAAGCCATAAAAAATGCTTTTATTATTAAAAAATTAATTTCCAATACTATTTCAAAATACGCCCTACGTTAATTGTTTAGAGCGTCAACCTTATACAAACCACACCCTTTTACAATATGTTGTTATTACATGCCATGGTCGCCATAGTTAGTAGGTTTGCTCCATGTGATTGTGACCTCAATTTAATAAAGCTCGCCTAATTGTGTGGTCCATGAGGGTGACATTTAGTCAACTAAAGTGGTCATTAGTCAATTCTGCTTATTTTTTTGCGTAGTTGGTGTCCACAACAATTATTTTCAACTTTTCATATAAAAAGTTGAAAATGAGGCCTTTTTAATCTTTTTTATTTTTTTAAATTGAAATTGCGTAGGAATTTTCATATGCTAATGTTAGTCTTCGTTAATATAATCAAATTGTTTTGGAAGATAGGAAGAAAACTACATCCTTAGTGACAATACTTATTACTTCGTTGCATAAGGATCAAACGTGTTTCACTTTTTAGGGTAGTGTCCGCTTCCATTATTTAAGTAAGGAAGAAGTATATAATGGTACAATTTACTTTTCGTACAACATGGTCATAATTAATCTTCATCATTGAATGTGAAATTGGATGGTTATATTTATTCAATTGACCAAACTCCAAATTCAAAATAAATTTTTTCAAACTTTATGATACACCCAAGCTATCAAATTTCATATCGGATGGCCATAGCTTATTGTAACCTACTTGTACCGAGTTGATTTTCCCTAGCCAAATAAAAAGGTCAAAATAAAGGAGGAGAATGGCACTTTTAAATTTTCAAACTAGTCAATGACAATCCTAAACATTTGAGTCTTGTCAATGACACTCTTATAACCACCCCATTTGAAATTAACAAATAATAGTAATTGCGACATCCTTATACCAGAAATAGAAGATCTCTTTGTATATTTTTTCACAAAATAAAATTGAGGTGTTTGCTCCAAAAACTCTCCCTTATGATATATTTGGATCGCATATAAGTCTCCTATAAGATCGATTTATATGTGGTGCCCATTTTATTAGGCATTTGGTAGGATGTGTAAAACAAATAACCCCATTCTCATGTTGTTGACAAAATGCAAGTGAGAGATGAGACATCCCTGTCAGTTAAAATACTGTGAAGATGTAATATTTAATAATCATTATATAATATAATGTTTCCTCAAAGCTCACATCTTTTATGTTGAGTCGTGCAGTGGAAAATTCACACTCGTGCCTTCGGTTCATTCCGAAACACAAATAAAATCACACATGCACCATAAACCACACACATATGTGGCGACTGTTGGGTTTATATGGCCTTTAAAGGCCTTATGAGTGTGTAATGAAAAACATTTATTACAGTAGCACATAAACTCAGTGGGAGTGTGGTAAGCAAATGATATTTACTTATACCGGA